TTCCACCTTGACTACTCACCCACCCTTCATCCTCCCATCCATCAGTCCTGTCATATACCATATGTCAAACTCACTTTGCTTGAGGCTGGGAGAATAAGCAATAAGATCCTTCAGCACAGAGTTGCTCAGTTTCTAAAATTACACCGTGTGTTTTTATTCAGCTGCAGAGTTGGCAGATTGGAACGTCTTAATTTGATATTCTTTAGTCTTTCCCATGTGGATTCTGTTTTTTTTAACAGCTTGTCTTTGGCTTTCAAGTAGGATGGATAACTATGTATCTAGTTTGAAAGCCTGTCTTCTCTTTCTGAGGATGCTGTACCACCATGCATCGCAGAACTCCCCTCAACTTACTCCAATTACAGCTTTTCCCTCTGGATGTGGGGAGGTTGAGGAAGCAGATGAAAACTTCTGGGTTATGATGTGCTCTGTGTGTGTGTGTGTGTGTGTGTGTGTGTGTGTTTGTGTGCATATGTGCATACACACCCACAGATAGCATAGTTCTATTCTTACATGGTTGTACTTACCATTTAGAAAAATATTGAACTTATATTAGAATATTATTCCAGAAAAACAATGGAATTCAGCTAAAGTTTACATTTTTTACACTTGGTGCCCAAGAAGCTAATTATACCAGTTTAGGGAGCCCTTGGTAGCAAGGTTAGTTTGGACACATAATTTTTTTGAAGGAGTCTGTTAATGTTTGTTAATAAATCTCATTTCCATTATTTTCCTCCTTCATTTTTTTCCCATTCCTTGAAAATTAATTCTAATTTATGTCTGTTTTTCACTACACAAAGAGCTCTGTGGACTCAGTATTCTCATGATTGGGATGGGCTTTTTGTAGGTCCTGTCCCTTTTCTTCACCAGTGAAAATATTTATGAGAAGAAGAGACAATTTAGAATTTGCAATGGCTTGAGAAAATTGTTAGAAAAATTGTTCAGGGGCTGGGGATGTGGCTCAAGCGGTAGCGCGCTCGCCTGGCATGGGGGCGGCCCGGGTTCGATCCTCAGCACCACATACCAACAAAGATGTTGTGTCCGCCGA